ATCAAGCCTGAAGCGCTAGATTTGCTGGAACTTCCTCCCTTTTGTGGAAAATCCCCATAAAGTGTTGTTAGAATGTGTTTGAGAAAAATAACATGGGCCTTATAATAAATTTCTTGAAAAATCCCCCCCAAACTCACATGATCTGATGGCCTGGGTAGAGCCACTACACTTGCTTAAATTGCTGACTTTTTGCTTCCTAGTTTGTTGTGGAAAACGGTCTGCCTTTAACCCCAGTCCTGTCTGTCAGGGGGTAATGGAGTTGTATAAGAGCTAATGGACTTGGAGTAATCTAGTTATCCTCATTATTCCCCTGGTGTTACAGACCAGCAGGGCTCACTCGGGCATAATGCAATCACCATGTGATGATTGTTTGTTGTTCATATCTGAGCCGCCGTCCTCTAGTTTTGTGCTGCTTTTTATCACCTGACATTCCACTTGTTTTTCTCTCTTTTCAAGCCTGGTGTCTATTTCTGTCTCTTCTTCCTAAACCCTCCTCGTAGCTTTAGACCAACAGGTGGGAAACACTTATGGGGAATGTTTGCAGGAAAACTCAGTTAGGTTGACTCAGTGTTGGCTTAATGTTTCTTTTAACAATAGAAACTAGTTTGAAATATACAGAAGAAGATCTGGGTAGGTGTTAGAAACAATTAACTGCCAAGGATGAAGTCCAAAGCCAAAGCCAAAGCCAGCACCACCTGCTGAATGGTCACAAAAACAAAATCCAGTTAAGGAAATTTTTATGGCCTCATCAGCCGAAATGTTTTTTTTTTTTTTGGGTTTACAAGTTTGATCACATAATTAGAGATGGAAATGTGCTTTTACAGACATATAAAAGTTTTAGCCTGTGTCAACACTTTCCCATCTGTTCTCTGTCCATCCTCAGTTCAGGCACCTGGAGCCGGTGCTAAGCACTGGGATGAAGAGTGCTGGTGAAAGCTACAAGGCTGAGCGTTGGCTGCTTCACAGCTTACAGGTTCACATGCTGTCATCGCAGCTCCGACCTTTGCTCAAGCATCTGGGACACACGCGTAAATACTACAATGGTGAGCCACGTTAATAACAGCCCAGGTTGATATACTTGTATTAGAAATTGCTGTGGTGTATAAGTTGTGTTAATTTTGTTTTCCCCCCTCTCTCGTGCTGGGTCCGTCTTTCAGATGATGCTTTTCTGCTGAGTGAGCCTCATGTGACCGCCATGTTCCAGTGCGTGGAAGCTGTGGAGCAGAATAATCCCAAACTGCTCGCCCAAGTAGACACTGTTGGGGTGGGTTTTCTGACATCTTTGCACATATCACCTGTTTATTCATGAAAAGGTCACTTGTGCAAATGTTTTTCTGTTTCACTCAAGTTTGACCACACTGTAAACACATCATTCAGTTGTTAAAGTGATTTAATTTTTCAAAGAAAAGAAACTCCTTTTACTTTTATTAAAAATCTTTCTTTCCGCTGCCCAGCTGTCCCCTCTGAAGGGCCCACCTTGCCTGGGACTACTGAAGAGCCAGAGTCTGTGTGTCTTGCCCGGATCTGGTGGGGCCTGGAGAAACGCCGACAAGGCTCCCAGTAGAGAATCTCTAAGCCGCAGACTCACCACCTCCAACTGCTCTCTGCGAGAAGCAGCCGCCACCAGCCAAAACTCTGCAAGCACTACAGCAGCTGGATCCTCAAACAGCAACAGCACAAGTGAGAAAAGAGGCTGGGTTGTGGATTTATTTTTTCTTATACTTAAGTGTCTTGTTGCATGCTCAATCATCCAGGTAAGTAAATCTCCAAAAGTTGATTCTGTTCATCTGGATGTCGCGTT